ATGGAGCGGTGTGGCGCCGGGAGAGAGACGTGGGGGTGGGCAGAAGCGACAGCGTGGGGGCTGCCAGCGTTGGAGGGAATTCTGGTCCGGGGGTTGACTTCTGTCTGTCTTTCTGTCTCTCTTTCTCTGTAACCATGGCAGCAAGCGCTAGGAGCACGGGCCTTTGTCGTTTCCCGGGAAAACTTCAAACCCAAACGCCTCGTTCCACTGCCAACGTTCTCAGTGGTCCTTAACCAGCCGGTGAAACCCATACCTGTGCAGCTGGGGCAGACCTTTTCTGATGCAATGGGAACTATGCCGTGAGGACTGGTCAGACTTGGCCGTAGCCATGACGGAGCCCCACAGGGTTTCGTTCACCACTCTCCACGGTCCACTGAGCAGCAGCTTCTTGAAGAGGTCTCGGAAGGACGATGGAGAGCAGCCCCAGGACTCTGAACCGGCTGCAACAGCTGTTCGAATCACACTCACTCTCTTCGAGCCGGATCACAAGCGTTGTCCAGAGTTTTTCTACCCGGATCTTCTGAAGAGTTGTCGAGGGAAGGTAAAAGGTGGTTCTTCGGGAGACAAAGTAAGTGTTCTCGTGGCCTGTGGGGAACCTACGTCGTGTCTGAAGATTTCAAAGGCTTTTTCCGTAGTGGTGTGTTAATGCTGTTTTGAGCGCTGGTTGTGTGTTAGCGGTGAGGTGGAAGGAGGGTGGTCAGGCATCCCGCAGGCAGGAGAACTGGCATCCAGACAGGGGTTCTTGTTGTCAGGCCACACCGTCACGCTCCTTTGCCCCGGCTGGAATGTCACGTCAGAAAGGTGATGTGTTGGTGTCAGAGTGTGGGACGTGCTGCCCGTTTAGCTTGGAATTGCTTGGTGGAAAGGGGTTTTTGGTAGCTGGCTTGCTGGCAGCTATGAGCAGCTCTTTTCCAAAGAGCGTCAAAAGGAGAGATGCTTCTACGATACGTGGCCGTACCCGTTTGGGGACCCCGCTCTACTGCACGTGAATATTTGCACCTTAGCGCTTGGCGTCTCTTCCTGGGTGGTGGACGTGGTGCTTTCAGGTGTTGCCTGACAGTTCTGTTTGCCTGCTGAAAGCCATTTCTCGGGTTATGGCAGCATGCAACCTTCTGTAGCATCTGAACTTTGTCTTACGGGTGTTTTTCTCTGAAAAGAAAGTTGATTGATTCTGCTCATTTTTACCGTTGCTCTTCAGAACTGTTAGCAGTCAGTTGATGGTTCATGCTGCTTGTTTTTTTGTTTTGAGAGTCGTGAGAAGCAGACATGGGTACGGAACTAGCTGAGAGAGCACCCAAAACCTAGCAACGCTCTCAGAATCATAGAATCATAGAATGTTTTGGGTTGGAAGGGACCTCTAAAGGCCATCTAGTCCACCCCCCCTGCCGTGAGCAGGGACATCTTCAACTAGATCAGGTTGCTCAGAGCCCTGTCCAG